ACACGAGGGGAGACTCCAGCTGCCCAACCAGCTCCAAACCAACACCATTAAATAATAACCAGTAAAATACAACTATGAGGAACCTCATTTAGTATTTCAGCGCCCAGGCACCAACTGCTGAATCTGAAGACGTCCCCGGGTTCCTCTTCCGGAACCCGTGAACAAGAGGGCACTTACAGGCGCAGCTCCTCAAAGGACTTCACGGAGTAGAGAGGCGAAGTGGGATCCCGCTGCAGCACTTCCACTTGATTCGTGGTGTCAACCAAGTTGCTGCGGATCAGCTTGTTTAACAAGGACTGGGCAGCTCTGTCCTCTGCAGGAAAAAAAGAGATATACAAAAAAATAATGTGGCCTGGACAGATACCTTTCAGGTTTTGTTTTTCAGAAAATTTGAGGGCAATGGATGCTTTAAAAGCTTCTAACACACTTGGGACCAAGGGTAACTTAGATCAAAACGTAAGGCTGACTCGCTGCCCTGCGGGGATTTTGCCAAGAACTCTGGATTTCCAAAGCAAGTTTCTCCTAAGCCACCTTCCAAAGGACTCAGACATTACTCCTCTTACCAGCCACTTCATAAACACAACACGTTGGTGGTTACAGCAATCCCAGCTCCAGGTTATCCTACTGCTGCTGCATCCACTCCTGCCCTTGAGGATGCTGCTATCCCCCTTACTTCATCCCAATCCAGCACCCTCCCAGGTTATCACGGGGCCCAAGGGCTTTATAAGCATTTCTGAGGAAGGACCTGCCTTACAATTAAGCCAGGATGCACGGACAGGATACAAGGGCATCCACGCTGAGACACAGGGACTTACTTTAAGTTCACACCACATGGATTTCTTTCCAAAATTCTGCTCCAAAATTCTTTCCCCCGTCCCCCAAAACAGGCGCTTACCTTTTTCCTCATCCTCCGTCTTCTCCACGTTGTCATCCATCTTGACGACAGCACCTGGATTCAGAGAGTGCCAGGGCCCACATGAGCCGGGGCCCCAGTGCAAAAGGGGAAGCTCAAGCCTGTGGGAATTTTGGGTCTAAACCCCACAGGAAAAGCCATAAAGCAAGGGGACCCCGGGATCAGGATAGTCCTGCAGAAGGTGCCTGGGTTAGTGTTGCAAGTCGATGCCAAGGTTCCCTGCGAGCCCCTCATGGTGTGTGACTCCAACAGCAACTTACAGGTACCAGACAATGGTGAAAATGGAGTGCCCTTGACAACTAAGCCAGAAATTTCGCCCTAAACCCTGCTTAACCTTCATTCCACGCTCCTTTCCGCGAAAATTTACCAACTAGCGCGGAATTTAACCTGGCACCAAACGCGGGCGGGGGTGGGGCGGAGAAGGGGAACAAAAACCGCGACTTTTCATCATTACATTTATTCTTCTACTCCTCCCCCCAGGCAGGGCTAGGGGCCGCAACTCACCGTTGGAATCCGGCTTGGGTTTCTCCTCCTTCAGGTGCAAATTGCTGAGCTGCGAGAACGGGAGAACAAAACCCGTGAGAAAAACATAAAGCGGGCGGCGGGGAGGGAAAGGGGCAGTTTTGAACAAAAACCGCGACTTTTCATCATTACATTTATTCTTCTACTCCTCCCCCCAGGCAGGGCTAGGGGCCGCAACTCACCGTTGGAATCCGGCTTGGGTTTCTCCTCCTTCAGGTGCAAATTGCTGAGCTGCGAGAACGGGAGAACAAAACCCGTGAGAAAAACATAAAGCGGGCGGCGGGGAGGGAAAGGGGCAGTTTTGGGGACGGCC